ATCCACGAGGATGCCCAGAACCGCAGCAAGCTCGCTGAGTTCCTGCGCTTCTTCTCCACCAAGTCCACCGAGGAGCAAGTCTCCCTCAAGGGTGAGTCGCATCAGCTCGTGGTGTCAAATTTAAGCTGACTTTCATCACCAGACTACATCACTCGCATGCCCGAGGTCCAAAAGTCCATCTACTACCTCACCGGCGAGTCTCTTGCTGCCACCCGCGACTCACCGTTCCTCGAAGTCCTCAAGAAGAAGGGCTTCGAGGTCCTCCTCCTCGTCGACCCCATCGACGAATACGCCATCACCCAGCTCAAGGAGTTCGACGGCAAGAAGCTCGTCTGTGTCTCCAAGGAGGGTCTGGAGCTCGAGGAGACCGATGAGGAGAAGAAGGAGCGCGAGGAGGAGGTGATCAAGTTCGCCGACCTCTGCGCCGCCGTCAAGGAGGCCCTTGGCGACAAGGTCGAGAAGGTCATCGTCTCCAACCGCATCACCGACTCTCCCTGTGTGCTCGTCACCGGCCAGTTCGGTTGGTCGTCGAACATGGAGCGTATCATGAAGGCGCAAGCCCTGCGTGACTCCTCCATGTCTTCGTACATGGCGTCGAAGAAGACCCTCGAGCTCAACCCCACAAACGCGATCGTCAAGGAGCTCGCGCGCAAAGTCTCCGAGGACAAGGCCGACAAGTCTGTCCGCGACCTGACATATCTGCTCTTCGAGACCGCACTGCTCACTTCCGGCTTCGCGCTCGACGAGCCGACATCGTTCGCCAAGCGCATTCACCGCATGATCAGCCTTGGTCTCGACGTCGATGACGAGGAGGAGGAGGAGACTGCCGCTGCAGAAGCCGATGCACCTCCCGCAGCGGAGGGCGCATCTGGCTCTGCGATGGAGGAGATCGATTAGATATAACGGGGTTCTGGGGATGCTGCTTTATTTGTTTGTACACTCACTGCATACGCTTTTCTTGTATTTTTCATACTCTTGTTGTTACTCTTCACGCATCATACATTGCATTAGTACTCTAGTCATTACTAGACAAAATCTCAAACGTTTCAGTCATCGTATCCACGCGTGATCAGCTTCAATTCAGTCAGTCGGAATCAGAAGATACATCGTATTTGGATGGATGCGAAGCAAAACCGGTGGGTCAGAGTTTACGCTCGTAACCGCCTGGATCATGTGCATGAGGTGAGCAAAATGCGGGCTCATCGTGCCATTAATTTCATGTAACCTTGAATCTCATCTGCTTTTCTATCAGATTCCCACCCCTTCACGGGTCATATCTTCAAGCCATTCGCTGTGGCATGTGCGGTGCGCCACGTAGTCCCAAAACGTTCTTGTCGCACACAAGATCAGATTCTCACTCTTTCGCGAGTCGTCTTCAAGCCATTCGCTGGCATGTGCAGGTTCTTGAGAGGGAAGGAGTCAGCTGGACACGGTTGATGCCTTTTCCTGCGTTCATCCTACTAGGATATAGCTGGCTCTGCGTTTGTGCTGTCAGGGCCTCGAGCACTTGAAGAGAGGGAGGCTGTACACGGAATTAAACGGACTGCCTAAAACAGCATAGCCACCGCTGGCCGTAAGTTTTCGGCGGCGCAGGCCCCAGGGGTCGCGTTTTCTGCTTCGTCCTGTCATTGTTCCCCTCCCACGTCGCTTGATCCTAATTCAGCGGGACAATGCCCATCGCCCATATCTAAAGTTTACTTATATCACAGTCGCTCCTCCATTGTCTCCTTTATCAATGCTTTACCCCTTGGACCCCGCAGCACAAATCGCATCGCCAATGTCCACCACGATCATTGCACCAGTGCCCCTCCGAGCCTCCACACCACCTAGGACCAGGTCCTCGTACCCCCTCCAAATGTCTTTAATGGTGCGTGGTTGTCACTGTTTAGATGCGACTAGTTGCTGACACGCGATTTTTAGGAGGTAGACGCGTCGCGACGCGTCGTGAAGGCCGACAACCTCATGTCCCCCATCCACCTAATCGATCCACGCGCCGGTAGTGCCCGCTTTGTATGTGCCATGATCACTCTATGAACGGTTCCATACTCACTCGACGCTCAGAAGTCACAATCTCCAGCTCCCTGCACTCCCCCTCGCCGTCGCACCACGCGTCGTCGCCGCCCATGTTTGCGTTCGGACTGCCGCATCGACCCTCACAGCGCAACCATCGCCTTTGATCGCCTGCCGTGGATTTCCATCATGGAGTCTGCCCCTGCACACACAAACCCGTGGGACATGGCCGACTTATCTCAGCTGCCCACCGAGGACCTCGATAATGCATCAGGACCCGGTCCGGTCCGCAGGCGCAAAACATCCTTGCGCTCGAATCCCCTGACCACCGGCCCCGCCGAGGAGCTGCCGCGGTTTCGCATGCCACTCCTCGCAGCCCTTCAAGCCCCCGAACCATGCAGCCCCCACACACCCGTCTCAGAGTCCTTCAACCCATTGGACGTCCAGTTCCACAACCTGCTGCCTATTCTCCCCTCTCCAAATCGTCATAACGACGACTTGTGAGTGACGGCGCACCCACGACCGCCTTCTCACCGTCACATTGGACATTGTATTCGTCGCCATCGCATCTTCTCACATAATCGAGCACTCCACCTCGCACTGCCACATATCTCGCGCCTATCTTAAGGCCGATTGTATTTTTACCTATTCTGCCAGCCAGCCTTTCATCTTCATCTTCACTTGCACGATTTTTATTGGTGATTTACGGACTTCCTAAATTTTTGGAGCCGTGGTAGCTATCTCTGCTTCTTGTTATCTATATTTACGTCGACTTGCCCACTCACGTCTCACCCATACTTTCACTTTCCCTACCATATTATCTATCAATTATGTTGAATGTACACGTTCCGACCCTTATCAATGAGCCATTTGGCTGCTGTGAATACATGATCGAAAGCTCTGCATATCAGCGCTCAGCCGTCAAAGACGGAACTGTTGCAGGTTCAGTTGTCAGCGCCCATACGTCAGGTATATTATGCAAGTGGCACGATGATCGGAAAGCTGGCAGGATGCCGATCTTGTACCGACGATATCTGTACTGTGCAATTAACTCCTTTCTGGATGAAGACCTTGATTTGATAGGACCAGTCACTCTTCCACACACCAGCAAGACAATAATGGACACCAGATGTATCAACTTTGGAGCGGGCCCGTCCGCACTCCCCCCATCTGTGCTGGAGGAAGCCTGCAAAGGGCTCATCAATTTTGAGGGCACCGGCATGGGGATCGCAGAGATATCACACCGATCCAAGGAATTCGTCGCGCTCCTCGCCAGACTCGAGGCCAACATCCGCACACAGCTGCAGGTCCCCCAGACACACGCCATCCTCTTCATGCAGGGCGGCGGCACCGGGCAGTTCTCGTCCATAGTGATGAACATGCTCGCGCGGCACCGCCTGCTGCAGCCGCACCTCGCCGACCACGAGCGCGCCATGGACTACGTGGTCACCGGCGCGTGGAGCAAGAAGGCTGCCGCCGAGGCCCAGCGGCTCGGGGGCGGCGTGGTGCACATCGCCGCGGACGCGCGGCCGTACTCCAAGGACTCCAAGTCCTTCGACAACATCCCCACGCACGACTCGTACAGCTTCTCCCCGGACCCCGCGCTTATATTCTACTGCGAGAACGAGACGATCGACGGCGTGCAGTTCGCGTACGACGGCGCGTCGCCTGCGTCGTTCCCCTTCCACCTGCTGAAGAAGGACGCGCTCCTGCCGCTCGTGGCGGACTACTCGTCCTCGTTCATGTCGCGGCCCATCCCGCGCCTCGCAGATCACGCGATAATCTATGCCGGCGCGCAGAAGAACATCGGGCCCGCGGGGCTCACCATCGCCATCGTCCGCCAGGACTGCATCGTCGATGTCGACGCCGCGGCGAAGCTCGGCGCCGCCCCCGTGCCCATCACCATGGCGTACAAGACAGTTTTCGACGGCGCGAGTTTGTACAACACGCCGCCGGTGATTCCGATCTACATGGCCGGGTTGGTGCTGCAGCGGATGGCGGAGCAGGGGGGGCTGAAGCACTACGAGGAGGTGAACAAGCGCAAGGCGGCGAAGCTGTATGCTGTCATCGGGAAGGGCGAGGCCAAGGGCGTGCTCCTGGCCAAGGTGAGGCCGGACGCCGGGAGCTGGATGAACGTGGTTTTCGATGCGCTTGGGGAGGGTGCCGAAGCCAGATTCGTCGAGGGCGCAACTGCTCGGAATATGAAGTCGATAAAGGGCCATCGGTGGGCACATTCCGTTGATTCGCGCAACAGCTCCGCTAAATTGATTCGTCTTCTAGATCTGTCGGCGGCATCCGAATCTCACTTTACAATGCCGTCACGGAGGAGCAAACTGATGAACTCGTCGCTTACATGGAGGAGTTCATCGCCAGCGCCGAGCCGGCAACAATCAAAGTGTAATCTTTGCTTATGTACCAATACATGTTATTCATATCGAGAACTTCGACTCGTTGTAGTTGGTCGTGCGCATCACAAAAATGCAACATGGCGATGACGGCCAAGTGGATCGAAGAAATACAGATTTCTGCTTTACAATCTAATATATTTGTATGGAATTTGCCGATTGGTGTTGTGTTTGTTGAAGCTGAAGTGACGGGGTGGCCACCATGTCATGTAGCCTGGATCGTATAGTTAATGGGTTGGTGCCCAGCAACATTAATCCTTCCCGGGGTATTCATTCGACTTGCACGAACTTCGTGGCCTGAAGCCAAGTTGCTTGGGGCTATCGACGGTACTGCGTAGCGCACAAATCTCACACAAGTTGCGCCACCCAAGCGCCACCAGGCTCAGTTGGGCCGCCCGCTTTCAACTTGATTCTTCATCTTCAGCCTATTAGCACATCTTAAATTCTATCAGGAAATCCACATCGTAAAATTGATTCCCTGTGTGTCGTGGATTCATTTTCCTTCGCTGGATGGTCTGGACGAACACTTCCTTCTTCCCTGCTCCTCAGTGAAGCTATACCTGTCAATGGGATCTCCAAAATATATGCCCCATGGCTAAGTTGGTTAAAGCGTCCGACTGTTAATACCACAACAGCAGCTTTATCGGAAGGTCCTGAGTTCGATCCTCAGTGGGGCAGTTTTTGCTTCGTGGAGGTCGGAAGGGGGAGGCGGTATTTTTGTCCCGCATAGTGCACGCTGTCGCAGTAAACGGAGCTGACTCGGTGGGCCTGAACACCAAGCTTTGGGCGAGGATGCGAGTATCATGTCCTTTGCGAGCTTGCGAGCATCATGTCTTTTGACCTTGCGAGCATTTTGCTGTCTTTTGCGAGCTTCCCGTCCAATTGTGCACTAGCCAGCTCAGGCTGCTCGTGCACGTGTCTACGATCAGTTGTAATCCATGCGCGCCTTGCAAGTGTTAATCGTGATTCCGAGCAGGGCTCACCGGTCACCCATACCACCCCCATCTTGTCATGCAGGTTACCATTCATTTACTCAAGGGACAGAAAGAAGACGAGTCCAAGTTTAAACGCTTTCGTGTACACAGCTGCAGAGGATTACAAGAATCTGGCCGGCTGCCTCATCGTTTACTTCCTCACGCTTGCCCTTAACACAGAGGGATCCTTTGCCCTACAGTGCCACCTATGCCCCATGGCTAAGTTGGTTAAAGCGTCCGACTGTTAATACAACAGCAGCTTTATCGGAAGGTCCTGAGTTCGATCCTCAGTGGGGCAGTTTTTGCTTCGTGCAGGTCGGAGGGAGGGAGGCGGAGTCCTATTTCGTAATGACTGGATTCCCATTGGGAACCTGGCTATAATCTACGGCTGGCATTCGCTGCTGAGCGCTGAGCGCGCTCGGGGGGTTTTGTTTTGTTTTGAAATCATTGTTTACCCTAGGACCTTTCGCTGGGGAGATTCCCTGTGGCAGAGGGCTCCAACTTGTATGTATATTTTCCAAATCTATCGGCTTTGTAACTTGCGCACCTGGACGAGGGGTCTACCTGAGACTTCCCCAAATTTGATCCTATGGGCCAGTGGTACTTATGTATGTATGTGAAGGCTGGGGAGTTGTGCTGCTTGAACTGGCTCCCTGCTGCTTCGCTGTTCGGGTGGTGGACACGCACGCTGGGAGTCAACGGCACCATGCTGCAAGCAGCCGTAAATTATGTGTGACGCGCAGGAGGCGAGGCAAAAGTGGGATGTGATAAATCCTGATTTGTCACAATGCCGTACTGAACAGTGAACATGCGCAAGTGTAGATATAATGTGGTGTGAGATAGAGTAATACTTAGCAAGGAGTACCAAACGTGCCCACGCCTGCGCTGGATATGTTAAAAACCCCATCGGCATGATGCATGATGGGGAAGGGCGGTAGTACCATAACTGGACGGCCAAAGAGCTATGGAAAGTCACTCGGGAAAAGGCCGAGTAGAAATCACCAGATGATGGGTTGATGGATGTAAAAGGATGAAGGAAGCGACAAAGAAGTGGTCTAAAAGGATTCGGGAAAACAAACGCATAGCGGCAGTGCGGCCACGTATATGTCAATGTTGCTTTCTGCTACTAGTCCGCCTTCTTGTCAATATTCGAAATGAATCAAAAGTCACAGGAGACTGGACTCACTGATATTTCTTGGTGTAGTCATGTATAAACCACCACTTCTTTTCCTTCTGGCGAGAAAAGCCTGGCATCTATCCCTTCCACCCTTGTATCGGCCACCCAGTGAAGCAGATCGTGGTCTACATGTCGAACGACTATCTCCACGATGGGGCCATTGAAGACCTCAGTTCGCTTCCGAGATAACAGCATCTCCCAGGTTTCCGTTCGCAATGGCAGGAAATCGTTGACGAACAGTACCTCCCATATTCCTGTTTGCGATGGAAACAGATTATCGATGCAGTTAAGCCGCAGCTTGGCGAGGTTGGCTACCAAACATTTCGGGCCAGGGGTATGAATGAGCCAAGCCAACATCGGGAGATCAAGAGCCAATACACTTCCGGCGACGAGCTCCAGTGTGGTTAGGTCGGGACAAGCCTCAAGACACAGTATCAGTTCATTTGACCTCAAACGAGGAATATTGAGAACGAGTGTCTGTATTGAGCACTGCGATCTTCCAATTAAATCCACGAGATAAGTTGCGGAGAGTGAAAAATAATTGTCGCCTGCGGAAAAGCTATAATGGGGAATGCGAAGGGATATGTCGAGGTTCTGAAGCGCTGGTAAAGTCAGGAGTTGGAAGAGATTGAACGGATCATCACTGCTTTCCATAGAAAGCCATCTCAAATGCTCTAGACGTGCGCGCGGGGTTTGGGACAGATCTCCGTTGAGGTCCTCCACCACGACTCCTTTGATTTGGCATTCCACTAACTGGTGACATTCCGCAAGAACTTTAAAGACTGAGGTGGTCGTAGATAGGTCGATGACAATTTTTGTCAGACGATTCCAAGGTATTTTCAAGAAGGCTGGGCTAACGCCGGAGCCAACCACAAGGCTTCGGAGCCGTGGTGCATGTATGAGATTGACGGGGTTTACCCATCTCCGACCGGAAAAATCGATAGGGATGGATATATCGAGATGTTCCAACAGTGGGAGTTGTTCACGGAGTGAGCTGAAATGCTCCAACAAGCCATATGAGATTTTTAACTGCAGCGTCTGCCATCGGCTGGAGTGTCTCAGCGCCATATGTAACAGTTCAGCCCTTCGCAGGTCTTTTTCTTCTTCTTCATGATAACCTCTTCGAATTCCCAGCGCCAAAGTTAGAGGAGTTGACCCTCCACGAAACAGCCATTGCTCCGCCATGAGGACTTCGATGGCGGCGCGTTCGGAGGTCATCTGCAAAGTAAAGGATGCCCATAGCCTGTGACCCATTTGAATCGTCCTCGCTCTCTCAGAATATTCAAGCTTTGTAGTTGGCGTAGACTAACCTGGGAGTGGAACGCGCTATATCTCTCCATCTCCTACAAATGCTCTGCACGAGGGTTGGCGCATGAGAGGAGGATGTGGTCATGGTCTGCGTGGGCAGGCACCACTCGAAAATTTCACCAAGGAGTTCGTCGGGAAGCCGGCGGATGGGGTTGAAGATCGAAATGTGTGCCTCTGCTTGATTCTGCAATGTGGAGCGTATGGTAATCAAGGCGCTCAGCGCTTCCTGGACCTTGATTATTTCCGTTTCCAAAGCATTGAGGTCGCCTCGGATCTGCTCCACGGACTGAAGGACGCCCGCGGCTTCAGCGGGTGTGGGCGGGCGGTTGGTGAGGAGCAAGTAATCGGTAGGATACTCTTGAATCCACTGGCATGTCTCCTTTCTATCCTGTGACATTGTGGATATGCCCTGACGATTGAATTTGAGTACAGTGTGGGTGGGTAAGAGGTGTACGTTGAGGTTGGCGACCCAGGAGTCAGATTTGGCAAGACTTAGACGGGCACTGCAGTGAGACGCGGTCCGGTGCCAATTGCAATTACCTCAGGCCAACGTCTCGTTGGCCCAACACGGTCACTGAGTCGTCAGCCCCTTTTCCTCCTCCTTCCTGCTCCTTGAAATTCTACTTGCAACTCAGCATGGCATCACTGAATCAATCTGTTACATTCATCGCGTACATTTCAGCTTCTGTACCATGTCAGCAGTCTTGTTAATACAGTCCGATTCTTCCTTGGAGCCAAATTTCTGTGACGCGTTGGGAAACTAGGAAACTCCTCAGGCTGTCGGTGCTCCCACTATGCCCTATATGCCCGGCTGCTGGCAGCTTATACTGTGTCCTATCTTGGCCCTATTCATCTAAATTTTGTTGACATAAAGCAGCATTTTCGATGCGAGCATCATTTTACGAGTCACTCTGAGTCTCGACGGCGTTAAAATCCTACCAGACTCCACGACCATCGAGAGCTCGGAGCCACATCATCTTTTTCTTGACTGCGCATGTTCTGTCAGCTACTTTCACACTCTGAATCACTGTTCTTGCATCGCATCGAGCAGTTGATGCTAGGCTCTAGCTGACTGTTGATGTGCGCGGAGTGTGTTTGATGCCGCTTGCCCATCAGCCCCAACCGAACCCCACCCTCGAGCACCCCGCAATTTAGCCCCTTTTGCTCAGAAATTGCATCTGCGTAGGGATATAAAAGCAGCCTGCCGATGTTCAATTTTATTATCAACCCCATCTACTCAAACACAGCTACCCACTTCCCACATACACACCACCACACTTAATAACAATGCAATTCTCCAAGTCCACCCTCTTCGTTGCTATCGCCTTCGCCGCGACCCTTGTAGCCGCTGTGCCCTCCCCCGCGTCCGCCGACTGCCCGGCCAGCGAGTACGGCCAAACGTGCACCTACAATTCGGACTGCGCTTGCCTCAACAAGTGCATTGCATCTGTGAGCGTCTCTCTAATCACGCGCAGTTTGGGTGTTGCTGACAATATATGACAGAACTGCGTTTGAGTTAAACGCAAGGACTGTGTTGCTGTCGAGCAATTAGCGTATCTGTTCTCTTGGTGCGTTCATTGTCATTTGTGGGTTTGGGGGATCTTACTCATGCAGCGCGTAGTTCAACAGGTCCCACATGTAGCTAGCTACATAGTAATCACGGGGGATGTTGAGCACATTATCATATCATTGTAATTATCCAACGCATTTTTATTTAACTCTAAATGGTGGTCACACGAGTGGACGGGTGACGTATAACTATTAGGTACTTCGTCCAGACTGACGTCCAATTCAACGTCATGTATCCGCAGTCGTCTATATTTAAAGGACTCAAGATGGTGGTGGTTCTCATCAACACAACATGTCTTTGAACGAAAGAGATCCCACCATCGCCGGCGGCAACCCCGTCGCTGCTAACTTTGTGCGTATGCCCGAGCTATGGCTGTGGCCTGTCCTAATGCTGTGGTGACAGGTCGATAACCCGACCTCAGACGATCTCGGTGCAGGCGCTGGACCCAATTTCCACGGCGGCGCACACCATAAGCACCCACTGAAAGACACTGCTGGAGTCATTGGCAATACGGATATTATTGAGAGCGCCCACATCGCTCCACTAATCGAGAACTCCAGCAATGGTTAGCTTCACCAGCCCGGCTTTATCGTGCTTTGCGCTCATCATTGTCATCGCTTCAGACGACTGCTTCGCGAATATGGCAACA